AATCAATTTTGAGTTCTTCTGTAGTTTATTGTTGCCTATTGCATCTACTCCTCCCTGCTTATTGTGATGTCTGTGTTTGAATTAATAATAATAAAAATAACAATATAACTAAGAAATATGTGATAATTACGAGAATTTAACGTGTTTTACAGGATAGAAGAACCTCTCACAAAACAGATCAATAGGTAATTAGAGTGATAATGTTCAATAAATCAGGAAAAGTTCAGATATCTCCCCTGAAATTGTAGGCTCTAAATGACGAAGATTGTCACACACACATTACTTTTCTTTCTTTTATATTTTCTTTCTTTCTTTCTTTCTTTCTTTCTTTCTTTCTTTCTTTCTTTCTTTCTCTCTCTCTCTCTCTCTCTCTCTCTCTCTCTATATATATATATATATATATATATATATATATATATATATCCAGGAAAATGAGCAGCCCTGAAAGAGTCTGCCCAAAAATGGTAGAGCTTCAATTGTAATTCAAAAATCAAGTAGACAGTGGACGGCCACGACAATAAGTTTCATGCATTTGCACGCAATCTTCAGGTATCCAATGGCTGTAGTAGTTGGGTGAGTAACCTATATACCACTAGGCAAGTTCAATTTGGCAGGCAGGCCAAACTCGCACGATGGGGAAGGTAAATCAACAGGCCAAGATGACAAAAATGTGCCCAATAACAAGTGAAAATAACGTCACGGTACAGGAGCTGGATCCTAAAGCCAAAAAGTTCTCTACTGGGCCGGAGAACCAACTTCGCGTTAGAGCATATATAAAACCAGGAAAGAATGACCAGTTCTAAAAAAGAGTCTGCCTAAAATAGACTACTGGCATAAAAGTGCTCATTGCCATGAGAAATGAGAGAGCTTCAATATTAATTGAAAAACCAGGTAGGCAATGACTAGCCACGATTATAAGTTTCATGCATTTGCACACAATCAGTCCTATCTACCTGACGATTGCGTGTAAACGCATGAAACTTATAGTCATTGCCAGTCACTGCCTACTTGGTTTTGAATTAATATATATATATATATATATATATATATATATATATATATATATATATAAAAAAAATAATATTAGTTCGAAAATAATATAAATTCTAACGTTCACTGCATTAATTAAAAAGAGTGCTCAATACCAGTAGTAGATCAATAATTATTTATTATAATTTTCACATACGGGCAAAAAAAACTTACTCACTACAAAGATGCATTCTTGTTTCGATGCGCATGCATCTCGACTGGTGAGAACCAAAAATGCCGGTAAGAATGCATCGTCGTAGTGAGCAAGTTGTTTTTGTCAGTATGTAAAAATTATAATAAATATATATATATATATATATATATATATATATATACATAATAAATATGAAGAAATATAGTCTTAAGGTGTGCTATATTATTTATATTTATGGGATAAAGTGCTCAATATCAGAGATAGAGCGTGTGTAAATATAAAAGTGAACATAGAAGTCAACACTATATGATATATATATATATATATATATATATATATATATATATATATATATATATATATATATATATATTTATATATATATATATATATAATCTCTATCTATAAAAGGCAGGATGTGTGTGTGTGTGTGTGTGTCTGTGTGTGTCTGTGTGTGTAACGAATGCACGGCCGCAATTTTTTGATGGATTTGCACCAAAATTTACATGCACATTTTTCCAGTTACGAGTCCTTTTTTAAAGCTGACCGTTTTGTGTTCATTTTGTTTAGTTCTTTTTTCGTAACAGATTTAATGTTTAGTATAGAGCTTAGAAACAATTCGCAGTGTGAGATAGGCAAGAAGTAAAGCATGTAGCAACATCAGCACGGAAAAGGGCACTCCTTTAAAGGGCAAAAATATTTTAAGTCAAGTGATAACGATTGCTGTATGTGTCGGACGATTTTTGCATCAAGAACGGGCAACGCCGGGCCATGCTGGTAGTATATATATATATATATATATGGGATAACGATATACGATTTTTATATATGAAGAACAATTTTAGGGGAAAAAAGTATAACAAAGTGGAAAAAAATTTTCGTGTGACGCGTTTCGTCCTTTAGGACTTCATCAGACTAAGTTTATGTCAACGTTGATGCGATTATACATGTGCAGGAACAACAGACGTTGGCAATTTTAAATTTAAATAGTGTTTTTCCCTTTTTTTTAAAATGTGTTTTGGATGTATGATCTAGTCCAGGGGTCGGCAAACTTTTGCTAACTATGTGCCGACATAAGGGTATAAAATCATTCGGTGTACAACTGCATATGTATTTTTATGCAAGTCAAGGTCAATATCTACATATCTATATTCTACAATATATTTTATATAGTAATATATAGTATACTGCAATTCCCCATGCATAATACGCAAAAAATAGGCAACCTGAAGGGTGCGTATTATAAACAAGTATAAAAAAATCTTTTAAAAATTTCCGTTTCATAGATGGATTTCAGTTGCGAAATGACTACTCATCACAAACTTACGACAACTTGACACTAACATTCGGCGATTGTGACCCCATAAGGATGTCAAATACAATCATATGTACCTAACAATACTTAGAAATGTAAAATAAAATAAGAATTATCATAAAACTAAATTAGATTATTATTATTCTATGTTTAAAACCATTTTTTGTGAAAAACTACATACAGATCCGGTAGAGTGCACATTTTATCGAACAAAAACAGGTTAATGAGTCTGCGCAGTAGGTACGATATAGGTATTTTCGTTTCCTTTTAAAATCGTGAATGATTGGAAATACCAAATAAGAGCAGGAAACGCCGGCTGTAATGAAATTGGAGAGTTACAATTCATAGGGTTTGATTACCAAACAAGGTTTGCGTATTATATATGAGTAGAAGCATCTTCCCACACTTTCATCACAATTTTAGGTGTCTGTATTATGGGTGAAGGCGTATTATACATGAGGAATTACAGTATACAACTTAGATAGTATATGCTGAATTAAGAACTCACCAAGATATATATCTTCAATTACACGTTAATGAGTCTGCGCAGTAGGCACAATATAGGTATTTCCGTTTCCTTTTAAAATCGTGAACGATCGGAAATTGATAAATATCTTCAATTACAGCTTGAATATGAGTAGGAAACGCTGGCCGTAATGAAATTGGAGAGGCACAATTTATAGGGTTTGATTACCAAACAAAAGGTGCGTATTATGCGTGAGTAGAATCATTTTCCCACACTTTCAGCACAATTTTAGGGGAGCGTATTATTGATGAAAGTATACTAAACATGGGGAATTACGGTATATATTTTAGTATAGATTAAAACTGAAGCAACTAAATATCTTCTTTGCGTTGTTGTAGTTATTAGTTCGGACTTCGTGGTGTCATTTGCGGCTGCGTGCCATTGGAAAGTGCTTGGCGTTCCATTTTGTGGCACGCGTGCCGTAGGTTGCCGACTCCCCAGGTTGCTGCATGAAAAATTTCAAAGTAACGACAAACTCGTATATACGAGACGCGGAAGCGAAAATCGCGTCGCAGCTCGTGACGTCACACATGACCACGCGCGAGTGAAAACGAGAAGTATTAAGTATAGGAAGCCATAAAATAGTGTACAAACTAATGGCTTCTGTTATAAATTGTAGGCATTTAAGGATATTTGTTGAGATTTCATAGTTTATTTTGTTCAGGTTAGGTTTCAATTGTTTTATGTATATAGCTTAAAGAATTTTTAATTTTTGTTTATTGTTTTCATGTTTAAGTATACTTGTGTTTTCAACAAGGATTTTCCAGAATTGTGTACGCGGCCAGGCATGTTGTTTTTGAAATGTTTCATGCAGCAAGGGCGGACTATCATTGTTGTTTCGTCCGTGTGTTGTTTGATTTATTGAAATTGTCATCTTTGATAATGGCTTATGTAAACCGAAAGCTTACATTGGATTTAAACATGTATCAATATGGTGTTTTCCTTTCCTCTTTCAACAATAATGCGATTAAGCTTATCAGACAATATGAAAGGAACTTTACTTCAAATAAATAGACAAAACTTGTCTATATTATTTAATGAAACATGCATTAATGAAAAATTGCTGCCTAAGTATCAATATATATATATATATATATATATATATATATATATATATATATATATATATATATATATATATATATATATATATATATATATCCTCTATTACTATATGGATCACTATTTCTATGATGTAGTTTATCATCATGCCTTAGGACGGATTTTTATATTAAATATATCAGTAATACATTTTTATATATAATTACTTATAGAAAAAATTACCAATGCTAAATATTGAACGTAGAATTACGAACAACACATTTTATAGCAAAATGACCAACAATACATTTTCTGTATTTAAAGCCATAAAATAGTGTTCAAAATATTTCGACTTCGGCATTAAATAACCCATAGACGTTGATATGACGCTAGACAAAATCAACCAACCAAAATTGAAGACATACAATTGCTTTCGAAATATATTTAATTGAAACCATAAAATAGTGTTCAAAATATTTAGATTTCGGCATTAAATAACCCATAGAGGTGTTGATATGCCGCTAAAAAAATCAACCAACCAAAATTTGAAGGCACATAATAGCGTTCAAAATATTTAATTGAAGCCATAAAATTGTGTTCAAAATATTTCGATGTCGGCAAGTAAACAACCAATGAATTCGGACAGTTAACAAATAGATAAAAAATTGCTCAGGCCCATGATCGCTCACAGCCTGAAGGGACACGGCCAAGGAGAAGATAAATAAGAAAGGAGAATCCATTCTACTTAAAGAACTGTCTTGTTCAGCACTATAACCTCCCCACACTATGTTCTTATCTTTTTTATAGGTTAAGATGGTGTTCGGTGCAATATATTCCCAACTTTCAACCGCCTTGAACGAATCACATTATGAGATATATAGCGTTTATCATATTCAAAACAAGATAAAGAAGTTAATGTCATCAGAACTCTCCTAATGTCTCGGCCACTCAACCATTTTCACTTCTTGATGATTTGGCATCCCTCCCCTAAATCCTTCTCCATCCTTTCGGCTTTGCCGTTCAATCTTTTCTTTTCTTTTTTTATTGCTTCAGCATCCGACCCAGAAAAAAAAACCCTGCTAACCCACCAAATCCGTTCATTTGAAAGTTAGGGACGCTGACCTCAATTCGTCTTTGAACGCAAGGGTTTGAACTGACGAGCATGTGTTAGACATAAAGAAAAATGTCTTTTATTGTGGAATTGGCCCCCAGGCTCCTAACTCTTGAAGTCAGATGTTGGAGTTTGATTTGGGATACGTTTGTATCTCTACGCAAAATTTTAAACAAGAACGAATTTTCTTGTGCATAAAAGTGGAAGTCATATTGAAAAGCATGTTAAAAATTTACAAATTTAATTAATGTTTTTTTAATCAGTTCACCCCCCCCCAAGCGATGTGATAAAGCCACTAAAAAGTAAGGAATCATTGGGAGTGAAAGAGAATGAGGTTTTTGAATAAATCGGAGACTCAGTACTAAACAGGAAACAGGGGATAAACCTCTACTCCTGTTCAAAAGATCAAGGACTAGAAATAAATGAAGAGAGACTGACGGCAATTTCCCAGGGGCGCAACTATTTTGGTTTTGATAAAATACTCTGCAGTACAGACTACTGCTGAATGACATTCGCAACAAACTATATCATTATTTTCATATTCAATGATATTCACTCAAGACCCAAGAGTCACTCGAGGTAGAGTGTTATATACGGAAAACGTTGTAGAAGGAAACAGAAACCCAGTCCTAAACAAGAAACAAGGGATAAACCCCTACTCCTGTTCGAAAGGCTGGGGAGAATTGTGATAGACGAATCTATTACTTTCTTAGAATTTTTGTTAATTAAATAATTAATTAATTAGTCATTCAGTCAGTAACCTCATTTTTTTTTATTTGATAAAAAATTGCCAAACATTCGTCTGACTAGTCTTGCTATCCGCTAACTTGACATAATCTAAACCAGACAGAAAATGGAATAATGTTGTTCTATATGGGCAAGAACTGCTCAGTTTTTACTTTCCAATAGGGGAATTTCCACTGTTATTTTATAGTCGTGGATATCACAAGGAATTTATTCAATCATTACCAAAAGAATTATAATAAATTAGAAAATTCAAATAGGAAAACTGTGAAATTTGAGCGGGTTAAAACTAGTACTTAGTAATAACTTTGATTTAGGATTTTTATTTATTATTTAGTCGTATTTACTATTATTTATTTATCTTTCATCTTCATGTTTTTTGACGGGGTTAGATAAATGAAACATTGTCAATTATTATTATTCATTTTGACGATGAAACATTGTCTACTACCCTCTTCATTTTTTCAACTTACATGATGAAGCATTGTCAATTATTATTATTCATTTTTCACTAGAATTTACTTTCATCTTCATTTTTATTAGATGAAACATTGTCAAATATTATTATTAATTTTTACGGGTATTAGGATTTGCTTTCATTACTGAAACATTTAATAGATTTTCAGCATTGTCAAATATTTTTATTCATTTTGAAATATTATTATTAATCTTTCATCTTCATGTTTTAATTTAATAGATGAAGCATTGTCAAATATTATTATTCATTTTTAGAATACTTTCTTTCATCTTCATGTTTTTATTAGATGAAGCATACTATCATTTTACGGGTATTCTACTATCATCTTCATTTTTATTACATGAAACATTGTCAATGATTATTATTAATTTTTCACTAGGATTTACTTTCATCTTCATTTTTATTAGATGAAACATTGTCAAATATTATTATTAATTTTTCATTAGGATTTGCTTTCAACTTAATTTTAATAGATGAAGCATTGTCAAATATTATTATTCATTTTTGACTAGAATTTACTTTCATTTTCATGTTTTTATTAGATGAAGCATTGTCAGCCATTATTATTAATTTTTGACGGGTATTCTACTATCATCTTCATTTTTATTACATGAAACATTGTCAGCCATTATTATTAATTTTTGACTAGTATTTACTTTCATCTTCATTTTTTATTAGATGAAGCATTGTCAGCCATTATTAATAATTTATCACTAGGATTTACTTTCATCTTCGTTTTTATTAGATGATGCATTGTCAAATATTATTATTAATTTTTCACTAGGATTTACTTTCATCCTCATGTTTTTATTAGATGAAGCATTGTCAGCCATTATTATTAATTTTCGATTGATATTTATTCTATTTTTTTTATTAGATGAATCAGTTTAAAATGTTGATATCAATTTCTAATCGTACTGACTTTGATCTGAATTTTGACTTGCTTTTTTTTTTTATTGCAGTCTTTCTCGGTCCGTCAAAGTGTGGCCGTGAGTACTGGATGGGAAATATGATAGGTCACCCTACCCTACGGAAGGAATCCGCGCACATATTCTGTGGGAATCATCCAGACAGCAGATCCTGCATAAATTTCAACAGCATATGGAAACCGCAAAGCAAAAACAACAAGAATGCGATCTTCCCAAAACATGACCCCAAGAATTGGAGTGCGAGTAAAATTCACCTAATTAGTTGGAAGGTCGCGGGGTCAACGCGCAGGTCAGGTGGGGACAGTTCAAACAGTTCACAGACAGAGACACCAGATGTGGCGCGAAAGGAGTGTAAAAAAAAAAAGAAAAAAAAAAAAGTGCATCCTCCATTAAAAGATACTACAACATTCCAAGGAATAGAAATGCCGAAGAAAATCCTGAGTGCACAGCCACAGAAATGTTTGGGGAAAAAAAAAAAAGAAGGCAAGTATGGAAGGTGAAAGAATGTAAAAAAAAACAACCCATAACAGAAGAACTTGTCGAAAAATATTGAAATAAAATAAAATAAAAAGATTATTTGGGGAGGGGGGGTGACAGAGGGATTTGTGTTCGTAAGATGTACAAAAGCATCCGTAATAAAAATGGACATGATGAAGGAAAGCTTATTATAAACGACGCGTTTCGCCTACATATCTAGGGATAAAATACCTCACCAGATCAGACGACCAAAAACCGGAAAATGTTTGATATTTAGGTAGATGTTAATACATGAAGTTACCTGTGTATTTCTGCACATAGGTACCTGTATGAGTGATTGAATATGTAAAGGAACGTGTGTATATGTGATATTGGCATGGGTGTGTATACAGTATATGACAGAGCAAGATCTTTAACATTACCTTCAAATATTCCCCCATGTTAACTTAACTAAAATTTAAGCAAAAGAGATTACCTATCTAGAAACAGTCACGAGTTAAATTCATGAACAAAATTCAAACGGATAGAGATGTCAACTTAATAATCAATAATCAATTTTTTTAAAGAGATTAAAAAAAAGATTACTAGAAGTAAACTTATGTTTTAAAATAAAATTTTATTCTTTTAATGTACTTTCTATGAATATTTTTCTAATCGACTATTTCACAGAAAATCCCCAAAATTAAAAAAAAAAAATTAAATCACTAACAAACATTAAATTAAATTATTTGTAGACAGTCTAGAGACATTCAAATTGATATCAACCATTATAATCTTTATGAACCCCCAAAATAACACTTTCAAATAAAACAAAATAACAGCGTCTGTTTCTAGCCTTTTTTTACAAAGAAAATTAGTGACATCTTCTTCTCTCTTAACTTCCTTCTCTCTTTTTCTCTCTATGAGTTTTTTCTTCTCTATCCCTTCGATATCAATATATAACTTCCGTTAAGTTAACCGTTTAAATGTGTCAATATCTGCTAACTCACTCATGTCTTCCCCTCCCCTTCACTTCGTTAATTTACATATGTTTAATACGGCCCGTCAAAAATGTGTAAATTTTCTTTTCATTTTTTGTTTGGAAGTAAAGTCTGATGATTAGCAGTCCTTTTAAAATGGCTGTGGTGAAATAATTTATTACACGGAACCTTAAAGTGGTCTGTGTTTATTTAAATTATTTGCTCTGGATTTACATTGAGCTCTCTGGAAATTATCCCCCTTAGGTTTATCCATACGGATTACCTAGTTTTTCATAAACTATATATATATATATATATATATATATATATATATATATATATATATAGATAGATAGATAGATAGATAGAAGTGGACATGGTAGTCAACACTCAGAGGCGATAAACGAAATCGTCAAGCCATGGCATGTCGATTGGGTTTTTAGCATGAAACAGAATATCGCCTCTGGGTGTTGACTTCAATGTCTACTTTTGTCTATATTATATCAGAAAGAAAGCTTTTATAAATAATTTATCACAAGGATAAAAATGTAAAAAAAAAAAGAAGAAAAGTTGAAAATAAAAACGGAGACTTTAAGATTATTTGGAGTAAATTTACCGGTTTCATGGTGATATGTCTCGTATCAATGCGATACACCTTTCCACAGCAGTTTGACTTTTGAAAATCATAGGACTGTGAAACCGATAAAGTCTAAATAAATTTTCTTAAATACTTCAGTTGCAAATAAATAAATAAACTGCTTAATAAGTAAACTGAGCATTTATTCAAATATTGGTATCCACTAAAAAAACAATGTTTAAGTGATAAAATCTGTTGAATTAATAAATAAAAAATCCATTAGTTCTTTAGAAATTGCTTCGTTTACATTCGGATACAAAACTGAGCAGATACGAATGTCCCCAGAACATTTGAAAAACTTTGGGCCTAAATGTTTTATTCGGCTTTGAGACTCGCCCATCAAACAAAGCCGAATGTTGCCGGGTTGAGGTAAAGCACAACAGATCTAATAACGTTTTCTCCTGCTAGTGTAATATTCAAGCCGGTAGACGATGAAAATATATAAATATAGTGCTTAATAAATAAACAGAGCATCTATTCAAATACGGGTGTCCACTAAAAATAAAGTTTAAGAGATAAAAACGTATTGTTAAATGAAGTAAAATATTCTGATGTTGTTTGCTATTTCGAAATGTTACAGTTTCAATGTTACAATACCATTATGACAATGCAGGGGAAGAAGGGGGGCAGTTTAACAACATTGCAAAATACGTGTTAGTCTTTAAAGAAACAGTTGTTAATAATCGAAAAGAGACGGTTGAAATATTTTGTAGATTAAATGAGAAAAGAAGGCTCGTAGAAGCGAACACGCTTTCATTTGTCTTTTCTACAAATAATTTCACGGTAACTGCTCCGATGAGGTACTTTCGCTGGTTCCCAAACTGCATGAAACAATAGAACCATGGTTGTAATCTATAGAACTATAGCTGTTATCAATAGAACTATGGCTGCAATCTATAAAAATATAGCTGTTAACAATAGAACAATGACTGTAATCTATAGAACTATAGCTGTTAACAATAGAACCATCGCTGTAATATATAGAGCTATAACTGCAGACAATAGAACTATGGCTATAATCTATAGAACTATAGCTGTTAACAATAGAAGCATACCTGTGATCTATAGAATTATAGTTGTTAACAATAGAACCGTGTCTGTAATCTATAGAACTGTAGCTGTTAACTATAGAACCATGGCTATAATCTATAGAACTATAGCTGTTATCAATAGAACTATGGCTGTGATCTATAGAACTATAGCTGTTAACAATAGAAGCATGTCTGTAATCTATATAACTATAGCTGTTATCAATAGAACCATTGCTGTAATCTATAGAACTATTGCTGTTAACAATAGAACCATGGTTGTATTCTATAGAACTATAGCTGCAAACAATAGAACTCAATCATACATTCTAACCTTTGATCAATACTGATAGAACGTTTTCATCCCGGGATCAAAACGTCCAATCAACCTAGGTCGGCCTTTCATCAGTAACAACCTTCATATCTGTCTTGAAGAGGGAAACTCAAACAGTAAAACCTAGTATCTATGAATATATATGTCATCGTTCTAATTTATTGATTATTAAGACGAAATTCTTGGTTTAAAGGTGTATGCTATGACCTACCCTTAAACCTCATAGTGCAGCACAAAGAACATTGCACATGACTAACCCTTAGACGTAAACATCAGAATCACAATGGAAGAGCAGAGCTATCCCCATAAAACCGGAGCTCCTTCTAGCTACCAAATTTTCTTCAGCAGCTGCTGTAATAATTTTATTTCCCCTCTGGGTTTTGCCGATCATCGGCTTACTTGCAATAGACAATTACTAACCAGCTCAACGCTTAAATAATTGTCCGCCGTGTCAATCCCAGATATATACGTCCAGTGTCTAAAGTCCTAACTTATTGTTCTGTATTGAGATCTGATTAAACAGACTGATTATTGGATTAGCCAGACGGATTATTTGATTTCGTAGGCAATACAGATATCGGGGTTTAATTATGTATTAAGAACTGGATAAAACATTTTGAATCACTTTTGAAATACCGACGAAGGACTGGGTTTCGGTTTCACGTTGTAACAATGTTTAGGGAGCCTTTCTTTCAAGAAATTTATCACTAATAATCAAGCTAAGCTTCATTCACTGTTTCACGCTTGTGGCCTTGTATAAAACTAAGGCAAGGTTAGTAAATTCTTATACTTTGTGTTTTAAATACAATGTACTGAGAGGAACCCAATCAAACAGTTTATGGAAATAAACAGTTTAATCAAAGTATAACCTATACAGCGAGGCAATTCTGAGGAAATTCAGCATTCTTAACAACATAAGATACGCAGACGACATAGTACTGACAGCAGACAATGGAAAAGAAATTACAAAATCTCCTAAAGAAGGTAGCGACGGAAAGCGTGAAGAAGGGACTAAGCATAAACTAAAAGAAGACAAAATGCATTGGTATCAGTAAAAAAAAAAAAAAAAATTCAAAAAAAGTGTCATGACCCGTAGATTTGAAATGACTGGCAGCAACAGACGTTAAACAAAAGCGGGTGTAAATGGATATATATTGTACATTAGACAATGTTATTTCCTAAGAAAAATTGAAGTGGTAATCTAACAAAATGCTAGACAAGTTATATACTTTATTAGTTTCCACATTGCTCTACTTTGCATTGAGCCCTCTTTTAAATTAAATGTTATGAACGTTAGAATTGTACTCTATTCGTTTTCACTTTACCTTTACCTGATATATATATATATATATATATATATATATATATCCGAATGTAATGAGAACAAAAATATTTTTGGTTTACACTAGTCGAGATGCAGCCTTATCGAAACAAGAATGCATCTTTGTAGTGAGTTAGTTGCTTTTGTCCGTACGTAAAAATTATATATATATATATATATATATATATATATATATATATATATTTCATTGATGAATGTTTCATTAAATAATATAGACAAGATTTGTTTATTTATTTTAAGTAAGTTCCTAAGTAAGTTCCTATTGTCTGATAAGCTTAATAACATTATCATTGAAAGACGAAAGGAACATTGATACATGTTTAAATCCAATCTAAGCTTTCGGCTTACTTAAGCCATTATCAAAGATGACAATTACTTTTCAAAATATCAAACAATACACGGACGAAACAATAATGATAGTCTGTTTTTGTTGCATGAAAACTTTCAAAGCAACGACTAACTCGTGTATACGAGACTCGGAAGCGAAAATCGCGTCACAGCTCGTGACGTCACACATAACCACGCGAGAGTGAAAACGAGAAGTATTAAGTATGGGGAGCCGTAGGTATAAACCAATGGCTTCTGTTATCAGTTATAGACATTTAAGAATATTTGTGGAGATTTCGTAGTTTATTTTGTTCAGGTTAGGTTTCAACAGTTTTATGTATATGGCTTCAAGAAATTTTAGTTTTTGTTTTCATGTTTAAGTATAGTTGTTTTCAACAAGGATTTTCCGCAATTGTGTACGCGGCCAGACATGTTGTTTTAAATGTCTAAAAATGTTAGAGTTATCATTCAAATGTAGTGTCAAGCATCATGAAAGTGAGTTTGTGGTGTGACCAACATAAATATTATTTAAACCATTGGAGATACAATCTCCCAAAGGGCACTTGAATTTGTAAACTATGTTGTTTTTTTTTTTTTGCAAATGGCTAACTGGGATTATATATATATATATATATATATATATATATATATATATATATATATATATATAGTGAGAGAGAGAGAGAGAATTAATATAAGTAAAAGTTTTGTCGCTTAGCTGATGGATATTACCTTCAGTATCTTGACTCCAGATTTTCGTAGACGAAGCCATCCGTCCACTCCCCAGGGGTTATCAGCAATTGACTGCTTGATTTTTCTTTTTTTATATGCACTTATCATTGGTGCAAATATATACATATATATAATGTGAGCGTGGCCGTATTGTTAGAACTTCAACGTTCCGACCATGACACCATTTCAATAAAACTTTCTGTCTTAGTGGATTATTGCCTTACTTGTGGATGAAATGATTAAAAATGTACGCATTGAGTGAGTATGTATGGATATATGTTTCTATGTGTGTGCGTGTGTGATTGTGTGTGTAAACTATTAACACACTATGAACTTTTCAAGTTCTGCCTATAATCAACTTATCAACTTGTTCAGTAAGTTCTTTTTTTTTTTTGTTATTTTTGTACTATTTTGGAGGGAAACTCCGAGAAAATGTCTGTCATCAATGTTTTTCGATTAATCATGTCTCTGATTTTTTTTCTCTCTTAATAATGCGCACTTAAATCTCCTCTAACGCCATCACTCCCATTGTAATGATTAGAATCCTCCGAGATAAGTCCAGGAGGGAATTATTGTTGTCGGTTTTATTTTTGTGTTATCTCCGGCAAGACAAAATTTTCTTTGATATCAGCATCAGTTTAATTCGTTTTCTAAGTATCATCCAAATTTGATATTGCGGACGGGTGGGGAAAAGAATGATGTTATCATTTTAAATGAAATAATCGACCCCTTTTCGAACACCGACAGCGGAAAAAAACAAAAACAAAACAAAAAAACAACTAACCATCCATGGAATAGCTAACAGCGAAGACCTGACAATCTTAGGAATAATCACGAACAGCGAAACCTCGCCATCCCCAAAATCACTAACGGTGAAGACTTCCCCATCCGCGAAATCGCTAACGGTGAAGACTTGACCATCCGCGGAATCGCTAACGTTGAAGACCTGACCATCCGCGGAATCACTAATAGCGAAGACCTCCCCATCTCCGAAATCACTAACGGTGAAGACCTCGCCATCCGCGGAATCGCTAAAGGTGAAGACTTTGCCATCTGCGGAATCGCTAAAGGTGAAGACTTAACCATTCGCAGAATCATTAACGGTGAAGACTTCGCCATCCGCGGAATCAGTAATAGCAAAGACATCGACATCCTCGGAATCACTAACGGTTAAGACCTAACCAGCCGCGGAATCACTAATAGCGAAGACCTCGCTATCCGCGAAATCACAAACGGTGAAGATCTCAGCATCCGCGGAATCACCAACAGCAAAATTTTACCAAATACTAAATTTCCACCAGAGAAAAACTTACCAGCCGCGTATTTGTCGACAGCGAATATCTCACCATCCGCGGAATTGTCAACAACAAAGATATCACCATCAACAAATCACCAACGGCGAAGACCTCACCACTCACAGACTCGAAAATAGCGAATAACTCAGCATCCGCGGTATCAACACCGAAGACGTCAATATTCGCTGAATCGTCCACAGGGAAAACTATCCCATCTTGCGGAATCCTCAAATTTGAAAACCGTATCACCTGCGGAATCATCCAGCCGACCACTTCGAAAATCGTCATCCGCAGTTTCACCTATACGCGGTTTCCCCAATCCAAAGTAAAACTGCTTTGCAAAAGATATTTCATATGCATAAACTCTAACAAAAGCAAACGTAGTTAAGAAAAATCGTTTACGATGAGAAACCATTTGGAAAATTCATAAATTTATACAGAAAGCCTCCTGAATAAATTACTAGATAAAAGAATATCTTGAAATACGCAAGAATGCATATATATATATATATATATATATATATATATATGTATATATTTAAAAAGAAGAGAAGAGAGGTGCCGCAAACGTTTTTGGTTGTAATGTGGATTTATTTAGAAAAAATATTATGCTTTGTTTTACATAATTTTACTACACCAGTTTCTAGTCCTCATGACCGTCTTCAGGTAAAAGCGGAGATTTCCACATATTATTAAAATAATTAATTTTTCCTTATGTTCAATGTTAAATATTCTCGATATGAGACATTCTCTGTTTTTTTTCTTTTTTAATATACATACTTTTTCTCGTTGGAACCACTACAACCTCTTTCTTTTTATATATATATATATATATATATATATATATATATATATATATATATATGAATAAAATGACAACAAAAAATGGTAATTGCTGACGTTTTTTGTCCAATGTGAATTTATCAAAAGCAAAATAAGAAAAAATTTTTTTCGTATTTGCTTGATAAAGTCCACATTGACGAAACGCGTCAGCAATTACAAGTTTTCCTATTGTCATTTTTATTCATAAATATTGTCTTCTACTGGTTAAATCGAGAAATTTTCTATATATATATATATATATATATGCCTTCCAAAAGCTAAGGAAAATATTAAGAAACAGGAATATTTTGTTAAAAAAAGAAAAGAGTGCCTTAACTTTCATGTAATATCAGTTCTTCTGTATGGCAGTAAAGATTAGACAATCTCGCCACAGATGAAAACGAGATTGAAGCAACAGAAATATGATCTACAGAAGGATGCTGAGAATACCATTGACCGAACGTGTTACCAACGACAAAGTTCTAAAGACAATAATAAGAAAAAGTAGACTTACACTTACAATCAGAAAGAGAGAACTGAAATTACTAGGGCATATAACGAGGTGAGAGGGTTTGGAAAATTTAACACTCACAGGCATGTTGAAGGTAAATAGTCACAGAGGCAAGCAGAGCATAACCCATGCCTAACGAGCTTGTGTAAATGGTTGGCAGAACAGGGATTAGGAGAGTTAGCAAAAAAGAGCATTTACTAGGAGCTACAAAGGACGGGAAATTGTGGAGAGCCATGATCGCTCACATCTTGAAGAATTCAAAGCACATACAAAAAGAACGATCTTGTGTAAATGATTGACAGAACAGGGATTAGGAGAGATAGCAAAAAGACTCCATTTACTAGGAGCTACAAAGGACGGGAAATTGTGGAGAGCCATGATCGCCAATGTCCATAGAAGAATTAAAGGTATCCTAAAAATTATGAGAGGTTTTATTCGAATTTAGCCATTCTTCTAGAGAACCTTGTGACCATCTTGATCACACAAGGTGGCCAATTATCTGAACTTTGAAGCGGAAGACAAAGGACATTATGTTTGTATCGCTAAATTCTGCTACAGGACACAATAGATGAAAGCATTGGCTAAGAGAATTGTGTTGCCTGGCGGTAAGTTCTTCAATCTCTGGTCCGGACAGAGACATCAAAAGGACGAATTAACGAAGTTGAATTAACATATACAAGTTGGCAGATGCTGTTCTCCTGGCAGGAACGACAGAATGAAAACACGAATTGAATAAAAGGCGCACCTTGAAATTCATAACTTACTAACTACACCTGAGGAAGATCAGAAGGTACAACAGCCGAAACCTTGTGACAGTCTGAGCAAATCAGTACATAATAAAAAATAATTCGTAATTAGTCGTACATTACAATCGCAATAGAGCTGTGAAACCGTTTACCCAACTCTTTATTTATACGATACGCGAAACTTTCAATTAAATATAGCGCTCCAAATACGCCAATATTCGACTTCATTTAAATTGTTCGGACTATTGTCCTCATCTTTGTTGAAATCATCGACAAAGAACATTATTGGAAAATTCGTAAACTTAAGAATCAGCACATATTCTAGACCACAAAAATCTCCTGAGCGGAGCAACCATAGAAATGAATACAATATAGGAGTCAATAAGGAGTGCCAGAGAAAAGCAATAATAACAACGAACATTGCAATATGAGGTCTGGTAAAAAACATGCAATGATAACAGTAAAAATTGCAAGATGAGCACTGGTTGCTCAAGACATTAAGTTTATAAGCCCGAGAAATTCATATACGGATGTCCTTAAGGACACATGTCACGTTGGTTATATCCAGTGACAGGACCCAAAGAGTGTGAGTTCAATACCTGGTTAAGGCGGTGGAGAGCTTGGAGAAGGGAATTAACAGGAGATAACTGATATCCATTAGACATGGCACGTGGAACTAGAACAATCTACACCAGCGAGCGAAATAAAGGGTTCAGTTCGACATTACAACCACCTGAAAAAGGCTGGAGCGTACAACGGCCGAAACGTTGTGATAAATATAGCTGTAAAGATGAGGACGATAGTCCGAACAATGTAAATAGTGTACATAATACCTCATCTCAGACAGATACTGAAAGGCCGAAACGTTGTAATAAATATGGCGACAAAGATGAGGACAATAGTCCGAATAATGTAAATAGTGTACATAATACCTCATCTCAGAAATATAGACAGGTTCGTCTTCATTCTTAGAAGAATCTCATATGCTAATTGTAATATTGGTATCAACCATTTCCTTATTAGGAGATATTCAGCATTCAGTGGCCGAACAAGCATTGCTAGTTGCGTTTTAAATTTATAAAATCTCCCTCTTAAAATATTTTTTCAGGAAAATAAGTTCCTCATATCTAGTAACTATTATTGCTCTTTCCAGTATCGATATTAGCCGTTTCCTTCCAAGAAAACATTCGGTATTTCTTGACTGAGCAACCAGTACTGTTTTCGTTTTAAATTTCTAAAATCTTTTCTAGAAATTCTAGAGACAATGGCATCAGAAAGTACACTTATACGTAACAACAGAAAGAAACAGTTGAAATTTCTAGAGTACATAATGAGGAAAGAGGGCTTAGTAAATCTGATACACACAGGACAGACTGAAGACAAAGTGGACAAAGGAAAACAACGTATAATCTACTTAGCGAGTTTGAGAAAATTGATGGCGGAACAAAGTTTTGGGGAGAAGACAAAAAGAGAAAATTGATTAACAGCTTCAAAGGACGGGAAAATGTGGAGAGTCATGATCGCCTACGTCCTGAAGGGACACAGCAAATAGAAGAAGACGAAGCCAGTAAAATGATACAAATATACGAAAATACATATTTAAACTGATGTCAAAAGTTATGAATTAATAGAGGAGAAAGGTGAATTGGTAAAACACATGAAGATACGATTCCTATTATCGACCGAGAATTCCTTAGGTGAAAGAAGAGGAAATCTTACAAAGAGATTCGCAAAATGAGAGTCTTCGAATGAAAGAACGGTGAGCTGTTTGCAGGAACTTTGTTAAATGCCTGAAGTCTGAAGAAGAATGTCGATAGCTCCATCCCTTTTCCGTTCATAAGAATAAATAAATGAAAATCTCCCAGAGATCATATGTAAGGGGCAGCCGTTCCCTTTATAAAAAATGATGATGGAAAAGTTAGTAGCGACAGGTGCCAAGAAGAAGCCTGAGAAATCTCTCGATGGCCCACTTAAGCGAAGGGAAGTCATAAAAAGTGGTCGTTTTGTTAAAATGACGATAAAAAAACCCCAAAAAACTCGAATTAATAACCTTTTTTTTTTATTTTGTTTAATCTTCCTTCTCATTCATCGGTAAGGTTATCTCCGGTTTCAGGTCATTAGTAGATAGAGAAGCCTTCTAAGAAAGTCATAAAGCTAGATTCCCGAGGATCTATCACACAAGCAGCACCTCCCCATTATTATCAAGGTTACGATTTTATACCTTTTAAAACGGAAAGTGCGACACTGAGATCCGAAGACGTACTGGGATGGCCAAAGAAACATTGCAAAAGTTCAGCATAGTATTAAGAGACAGAAATAGAAAAAATACTGAATTGTTACGTGATATCTATCCTCCTATATGGAAGCGAATGCTGGACAGTATCCTCAAAGATGAGGAAGAGACTTGAAGTAACAGAAATGTGGTTCTACAGAAAGATGATGAGGATGAGGATAGGCTGAACATGTGACCAACAGCAAAGTTTTCAGAGAAAATGGTAACGAAAAAGGAAACGTACACTTAACATTAAGAAGAGGCAGTTAAAATTTCAGCGGCATGTAATGAGGAGAATATCTGTTAATATCTATCTATCTATCTATATATATATATATATATATATATATATATATATATATATATATATATATATATATAATTATTAATTTATAAGAAGATTATAACATAAGTATGTTATAAAATCACTACAAAAACACAATCAGTATTATAATTTGCTTGCGTTTTTGTTGTTTTGCGCGTGAGTTTAAGACCACATTCACACACTTTAGAATAAAAAATATATAT